TGATCTTGCTGCTGTTTGAACGTGACGGGCTATATTCCCCTAGTTCTTTTTCCTGCATAAGGGAGCACCTGCCAATCAATCACTCGAGTATTAACTGTTAAAAGAATGTTCTCGTTTTTTTACGCCCACGAGATCGATTTTTTATACTCTTCAAAGAAATAATTGTTTTGCGTATTCATCCGCGATGTACATATACCAAAAGCCTTTATTTTGTCGGTTGATATTACCATTTAGCATAACAATAACGTAAAGCAAAATCATAAAGAAAATGATGTCTTCAACAAAAAACAAAAAGGTAAATAACGGCCACCCCTGAGGTGTAAGGTCAAATTACGAAAAAACCCTCATGTTTGGGTATTACAACCACCCTCAACTATAAATTTTCGTACACGTCCACCCTTATGGTGTCAAAATTAATCAGAATCTTTTAGATTTTCTGACATCACCACAATCTGAGATTTACAAGCATGATCATCTCGTTGCAAAATGTGGAGCTCGAATGGGATAAAATGAGTACAAACTGGAGAATATTCCACATAATCTAGAAGATTCCACTAAATTTGACACCGCAAGGGTGAACGTGTAAGAAGATTCATCATAGTCGAGGTGGTGGTTGTAACTACCCAACAAGAGGGGTGTTTTCGTAATTTGACCTTACCTCAGGGGTTGGCCGTAATTTACCAAAAAAAATGATTAGTGGAATAAAATAGATTATATACCAGCATGCTGTAGTAACTTAAAGAAAGTGGAGCACATTCAATACAATCACAAGGAAGCCAAAAGAGATCACTTCCGGTATCCAATGCCACGAGAAAAGAATTGTTTGGTGTTCCGATATCGATCCATGCGTAGTGTAACCTGGAAACAAAACATCACACAAATCATTAAATATTGCGTTATTAATAGAAGACGATATTTTTTTACGTTTCATGCAAGTGAATTCAATTGTCGACTGCTGACCGAGCAATCTCGTAATAGGTAAGCCGACTAATTTATATTACTTTGTAACCAACCACGGAAATTCTAACTAACAAAAAACACGACAAAAAATCATACATGCCGACATGACTACGTCACATATATCTTCATCAATTGTTCTATCGTTTAGTGCATTTATAGACGATTGAAAAAAACAAAATTTATTGGTCGTGACTCTTGGAAAAAAGGAAGCACTTATTTTTCTTTCTCCGAGTCATATTATAAAGACAATCTTTCACGTCTGGTAAACGACAACAGATCTCTTTTTTGGTTTAATTTAATCTCGACGTCACTATTTTGGAAACAAAAAAACACACCTGAATAACAATTGAGGCGTAAGTTACTTTTTCCAAATGTTTTTATACGGCCGACTTTCGTCTCTGATAAACGACGATACGGTTTTCTTTTTTGCTTTACATTAATCTACCTCCCATTTCGAGAATGCCACTAAACGAAATCAGTCATGAGTTAGGTGTCGGTAGGAAATAAGCACGACTATGCCATCAATATATTTGGTTTTTTTTTTTTTATAACAAATCATAATTTTTATTTTTATTTTCTCAAATCTTTTTCGAAGGCTACCAATATTTCGTATCTGGTAAGCGACAAAAAAAAGATTCTCAGAGAAGAAGCATAGTATTACATAGTTAGATTCAATGAGTGAAATGAATCGGAATCGGAATCTGATACCATAGTATTACTTACATAGTTAGATTCAGTTCTTTTCAACCTTTGCCATCACCCAAAAAGAAAAAAGGTCGAAAGGCATAAACGAGAGGGCCTATTATGGTTCATACTTTTTTCTATATTGTCATCATTTTTTTGCTTTCTTCGTTTCTTTCGATATCATGCACCCGACTTTTTCCGATCTACGAAACATTTTTTCGGGTCTCCGTAAAAAAACAATAGAATAAAATCGGTACATTGTATAATGTTTGCATTACTAGACAAAAAAGCAAACATCAATTAAAGCATAAATTAAAGAGAAAAAAACACACACAAACACACACTAAGACGTGTAATTTGGGTAAGTAAATTAAATTACACATAAACATAAATCACAAAAACCACATTGCTAAAAAAAACAAAAACAAAACTAAAAATTCAAAATTCAAAAATCATAAAACCCCCAAAAAAATTAATTAATTAATTAAAAAAAAAACACATACCAACCCATGTCATTGCCGTAGTTGAAAGTCTGTCCGCCGCCGTGAGAGGCGGCGAAAGTCTGATTCTGGGCGGCGAGCCTCAATCTCTGCCGCTGAAAATCACTACCCAGAAGCGCTCTCATTTGCACGAAGCTCTTCTTCTCCGGCCACGACGCCGTTTTGCCGCTCAAACCCAACAGATTCTTCGCTTCTCCGGAGAATCTGTGAATCAGCTTCGATGAGTAAATGGGCTTCTTCGAAGCAGCAGAAGAAGCATCAATGGCGAGAAACAGGAGCACTAGAATTGCAGCAAAAAAAGTGGGTTTTTTCTCCATGGATTTAATTTAATTTAATTTTCGAGTAGAGAAGAAATGTGGGTGACCGCTTTGAAGAAATTGGTTTGTTTTCTATTATTTATCGAAGCATTTTTGCTAATAATGGTAAAGAAAAGTGGTTGAGGAATAGCGCAGCAGGTTTGGATTGATGTGCGTATGCATAAATGTGTTCTTTATATTTCAGTTTTGATAGTGTGGAGTGGAGTGAAGTAAATATATAATATTCCCAAACTACCCCTTGATTTTATATTTGATACTACTATTTTTCTATAAATAAATATATATTACATATAGAAATTAGCTGAAAGCCCTTCAAAAATATTCTTTATAGTTATAAGGATATGCGGATTTTGCCAATTATGCTAACAGTCTTTATGAGTTGATCTGACGCTAGTTTTGGATTCTCTGTAATGGAATTGCTTAGGAAAATTAAGGTATCGGCGACGCGCTGATTTGCACAGCTTAGTTATATTAATAAGCAATGCCTTAGTTATATATGAATAGGCAACAATTTAGTTAAAACAAGAATGGATATATCTCACAACGCATACGCAGCTTACATAGACAACTTATAACTTATTTAGAGATTTTAGTTACATTAATGACCAAAAATTTAGAAAAGAACACGTATTTTATATAATTTTACTATAAAGTTAGACGGCTAGAAAACTTATTTGTACAGCTTAGTTAATATAAATTGAAGGGAAAAAAACTTAAATCTCTGGTGCGTATATCTTCACCAACATTACCATCTGGCATCACCAAACAATTATTCATATTTTTCCTTTTTGATTTCCATAATTATTAGGTTACAGTGAAAGGGAAGTGGAATAAGAAAAATGTATGTGTGTGCGTGTATGTGGTTGTGTACGTGTGTGATTATGTATGTGTGCCTGTGTGTAGAGCTTCGACAATGGTAGCGGCGGAGTGCAGGGATGGAGCAGATTTGATGGAGTAAAGCGGAGTTGGACGGATCTTATGGAGTTCAGCGGAGTTAGACGGATTTGATGGGGTGAAGCGATGTTAAATGAATTTGACGGGATGAAAGCGAGGTGAAGAACAAAGAATTTCTTTTCTCAAATTGTCAAATTCCGCATGTCCTGATTTGAAGGAGAATTATCGCCAATGGATGTTTAGCAAATTGCCTCTTAAATACAAGGTAAGTCACACATGCCCTGAGGTAAGACTAAATAACTTATAACTCCTATGGTATTGATAATTATAAATTGCCCTTTGAAACTAATAACCCGTACACAAACTCTAACAGAATGAGTGAATTGTCTAAATTACCATTTTATTAAACAAACAAACTATAGGTAAATTATGTGTACCCTGAGGTAAGATAAAATATTATATTTACTTCCTTGCGGGTATATTACATTTATCCTAAGGGGTAGATATGTAAATTCATAATGAATATTACATGAAATTTTCAAAATTTTGTTACTCATAACTCCGTAAGAGTATAAAAGATCAAACGGAGAAATAGCTCAGAAAGTATTTGTAGTTATCAATACAATAGGGTTTTGTAAGTTATTTAATGTTCACCTAGGAGTACCCGTAATTTACCTTAATTATAATTATAATGATACATAATTCATCGATTACCAACAAATAACAACAATATATGAATTTATCTTATTTATATTTGCCTCTCTTTGAATATATTTTTTTTTAATTATAGTTAAGAATAATTATTTTCAAATAAAACAAAAAATCCTCACAATTTAATATATCTTGTTATTTGTTATTAGGGGTTCTTTGAGGAAACCCCATCATTACTTCTTTTAATGGAGAGTGGTCCAAAATATTTTTCTCCATTTGAGAAAAGCAACACTCATTTTTAGCCATATGGAGAGAGGTCCAAAATATTTCTCTCCATTTGAGAAAAGCACACACTCATTTTGAGCGATTATGTTTTCCAATTTTTTCCCTACTCGCCACATCATCACTGGATCACGCGCTCAGCAATTTTTTTTTCAGTTTTTTTTTTCCTTCCGTTTTTTCCCCTTCTTTTTTGTATCAGTTTCTTAATCGACTATGAAGCATAGTCGATTAGCCTTAATCGACTATGCTTCATAGTCGATTAAGGAAATTCTTTAAAAAAAAATTGTTTTTTTTTCTATGTCGGTATATTAATTGACTATGATGAAGCATATTCGACTAAGAATTTGCTACTAAAAATAACAAATCAAAACTGCAAAAAAAATGCAAAATCAACTATATTTTACAAAAACAAAAAATATAAGAACATTATAATTGATTTATACAATTAGAATCCAAAACAAAAAATTCAAAAAAAAATTTGGAGTCGATCAACCTTAATCTACTACCAGAGCATAGTCGATTAAGAATCTGCTAATAAAAATAACAAATTACAACTGCAAAAAAGGGCAAAATCAACTACATTTTACAAAAACAAAAAAATACCAACATTATAATTGATTTATACAATTGGAATAAAAAAAAAAAAACACTAGAGTTGATCAACCTTAATCGACTACTAGAGCATAGTCGATTAGCTTAATCGACTATTGAACATGTACATAGTCGATTAAGATTCTAGCATGCACGAATTTCTCTATATGTCGTTATCCGCCCGATCCACCAAAAAACCCAAAATCTGCCTCCGCATCATTACCACACAGCCGCCACACCACACTATTCATGTTGTTGTAGAAAATCCTCAAATAGTATACGTGTTGTTTGGGAAACGTGATTTCTTCTACAGATAAAATTATAATAAAACAAACAGTAATTAATTACTCCATCAATTTCTACTCAAAAAAAATTATGTTGCAGAGTATTCAGAATCAAATTTTAAGGGAGATGATCAATTTAAAATAAAAACAAATCAATCGGTTTAAGAAAAAAAACCGCATCGGCAACAGCTTGTTTGACGGGGTCTTCATATCGTCGAGCCGAAACCTCGTCGTCGCCAGCCTTCGCGGCTAGAGCTCTACCCCCAATATGTCCAATTATGATGGTTGTAGCAGTTCTTCACCCAATATGTCGGCCAATGTTCGTCGGAGTAGTATTTAACGGCGTCGGCCGAATTCTGATCGAGAAGAGAAGAAGCAGATCGAGAAGGAAAAAAAAGAGAGAGAAGAAAGAACGAGAGAAGAGAGCAGAAATCAGAGAGAAGAGAGAAGAGAAGAGGGAAAAGGAAAAGAAAATAAATAACAACGGGGAATATGATATGTCAAAATTTAGGGTTAAGAGTAAGTGCATAATTGGGAGATTACCTTTATTAATTATCCAAACTAACAACAAAAGGGGTTTTCTCCAATTATTTTTAGGAGGGTTTTTTTTCTTAATTACATTTTCTAGATGAGGGGGTTATTGCTAATTTTCCATTGTAATTAAATAGATATATTTTGGTATATAATGGGGGCTGTTCTTAAAAGGGGTTTTCTCTAATTATTTTTTGGAGGGGTTTTTTGGTTAACTACATTTTCTAGATGAGGGGGTTATTGCTAATTTTCCCTTGTAATTAAATAGAGATATTTTGGTATATATTGTGGGCTGTTCTTTTGAATTATATTTTCTACTCACTCCGAGTCTTTGAATTTCAAGGGATTTTTTTTTTCCTTTTTTTTTTTTTGAGAATTCAAGTCTTGTTACAAATTGGAGAAATAAGGGAGGAAGGCGGAATTCGAACTCTAGCCTCAATTCTAACAGTAGATGTTAGGTTTACGAATTTTATCATTTATCACGAGTAACGACATGGACAAAAAATATAATTTAATAGTTTTCTTACTATTTTTAAAAGGTAGTTTTGAATTTCTTACTATTATGCCCTAGTTCTTGCGTTTAACTTTTTACTCACATTGTTCTATAATAACTGTCTTTTTTTTTTTAAATATTTTTGTTCCATATTATCTGTCACTTTAGATTTTCAATACTGCATTAAATGCTTTTTTTTCCTGTTTTAACCTTATTAATTCAACTATAAGTATTAACTCTCTTTTATCACATTATTAAATAATCAAGGTTATTTTAGTCTTTCTAATATATTTTACCTAAAACCAAGACATATTAATGAGTTTCTTAATCCTTGTGCAAAGCAAAAAACGACACTTAATAGAGAACGGAGAGATTTTTTTTTTTAAGAAATTCAATTCTTATTACAAATTAGGAAATCATGGGAGGGGTTATGATTCGAAACCCTAGACCTTTACTAATGGCTAAGTATCAACTCCTAGTGAGGGTTGATAGTTATTACGTTTAATTAGTTGAAAATAAATAATTGAGGGACAATTAATAAGAAGGGTTTTTTTAGTTATTTTATATATTTTCTCCTATGACTCATGCATATTTATTAGGGGTTATATGACAAACACCCTCGTTTAATTTTGACTTCTTGATAAATTCATTTTTTTTAATTGATATTTGTTATAAATCCAAATGTATGGAATTATCCAAAATGCCCCTAATTAATATTACTAAAAATTATCATATTATATTATTTTAAAAAATCAATTATTTTTTTTGGTAGTTATGCAAATCCCCCTATTTTCTCCCCCACACAATCCCCCAATTATCTCCCTGTCACGCCATTTCGGTTTAAGGATTTTTTTTTTAAATACTAAAAATTACCATATTATATTATTTTAAAAAATCCATGATTATTTTTTGGTAGTTATGCAAATCCCACTATTTTCTCCCCACACAATCCCCCAATTATCTCCATGTCACGCCCCATTTCGCTTTATTTTTTTAAATTTTTTTTTATATCAATTTAAAACAAAAAAAATGGTTTTTTTTTTTCAATTTCACTTTTTTAAATGGTTCATATTTAAAAATAAAATTGAAATCCAGTACATACACATCGAAAACCACTAAATTTATCGAAAACCACTATGAAATTAAAGTAAAAGTTACTATGAAATAAGCATAATCCACATTACTATTAACGTAATCCACTATGTAATTAATGAAAACCACTATGTAATTAACGAAAATCACTATGTAGTTAACAAATTCCATTACAAAAATTCACTAAAAACTTATCAATTAACAAAACCACTTAATAATTAATGAAAACCACTCTGTAATTAACGAAAACCACTGTATAATTAACGAATTTCATTACGAAAATCCACACCGTAATTAATGAAAACCACTTTGTAATTACAATTTGACTTCTTGATAAATTGGGACTCATCATTAGTAGATTCTCAGGGGTTGCACAAAAACACGAGTTTGTTTGGTCTATAGATACATGTCGAATTCCATTCGTTTGTGAGAAGATTGGTTTATGTACTAATGGCGTTTCCCTGAATAGTCGCGCATGGTCCTGCCCCACGGATTTTAATCTCTGTTTTTTGACGCCACAACAATGGAGAAACTTGTGCTTTTGAACTGTGTATTTGAATCTCTCTATTTTATTAATTGTAATTTGAATCTCTCTCTCTATTTTATCAATTGTGTATGTGAATCTCTGTTTTTTTCAACCCCACAACAATGAAGAAACTTGTGAAATATAATGGATGTTGTGTGTGGGTGTGCATGTGTTGTGTGTGTGCGTGTGTGTGTGTGTGTGTGCGCGCGCGCGTGTGTGCAAGAGAGATAGAGCTACGTATATAATATATGTAAAATATATTATATATCTTTTAATTATAATTTAAATATAAATTATTTCTTAGTTAGGGGTACAATGGTGATAATTAAGTGTTATTAATTAATAAAAGTTGTTTTGGATTTATCTTAAAAATGTAAAATAAAATTGGGCTTACTGTAATGAGACTTGTGTAGTGAGGGAGTTTTGTCAAATTATCCCTATTTATTAATTGTTTTAAATGCATGTGCATCAATCGAAAACAACATTTTTTGTATATTGACATAGATATATGTAAGTCTTGTTTCAGTTGTTATTAAATGACCAACTCTTGTAAAAGCTTAAAAACCACTCATATGTAGGCATATTATTTTTGAAGCATTGCCCGTGGAATTTTTAAATGTGTGACGTTGGGATACAATCAGATGTGAGCAATAATATCGAAAATTTAAAATTCGAACAAAACCCTAAAAAAACGAGCCATATAAAATTGTCCTGACTTAAAAAACCGTACGTATGGTATTTTGTTATGAAAAAATTGAAAATATTGGTTCATGTATGGTGCAGATAAATACAAATTGAAACCGATAGAATATTCCGTAGGTATGGTATTTTGTTATGAAAAAATTGAAAATATTGGTTCATGTATAGTGCAGATAAATAAAAATTGAAACCGATAGAATATTGAAACGATGTGGCCTAGATGGTATGCATAAATACTTTCTCACCGGTCCACCACTCTTTACTCTTCATAATTCATCTTCTTCACAAAAAAGTTTTAGCCCCTCCATTCTCCATGTCAAGTCCGAAGCCAAATTACAATTAAGATTTCCGTCGTAAGTCGACTTCCGACCATATTCAATCGGCAATAGACATGAATCCATGGTGTAAGGTGATTATATAGTATCTATTCATTAGATATTATTCTCAAATGGTTTGAAGAATGTGTACTACATTGTTATGTTAGAATAATTTTTAGGAATAATGACTTGATTTTTACCTAGGCAAGTGTTGTAGTGACTTTGTTGGATGAAAGAGAAAAGTGGTTGCATTACTCTTCATCACTACAATCTCATGCACATTGGTTTGGAATGTTCGTGTGCTTATCGTTGACATCAAGAAATTTTGGGGCTTATGGCCAAAAGAAACTCTAATTGTTTGTGTGATGGAGGTTTTCCTGTTTTTGACTATTGTAATTTCTATTTCGTTTAAGTGATGGAGGTTTTCCTGTTTTTGACTATTGTAATTTTTATTTCGTGTAATGACAATTTTACTTACAAAAGAAAAATGTGAACCTAATGTTAGTTAAAATCGAGCTGAACTGAATTGGTAGCCAAAACCAAACCCAAAATGGAAATGCAATTGCAAATCGAAAAATGAAAACCGATAGTAGGTATAGTGTAATTACAAAGAAAGCACTCTTTTTTGAGTAATTACATCCAACTCCCTATGCTTTATAACAATCTTACAATCCATCATTACGGTGTCAAATTGAACATAATCTTTTTAGATTTCGTGAAATATTCCTTAACATATCCCTATTTTACCCCTGCATACCTAACCTTATAAAATGGTTCATTTTTTAGACAAAAATACCAAGGGGATAAGTAGTAATAATTATAGTTATAGTGGGGTTCAATTATAATCTAGGGGGTCTTTATCGAGGAAATTGTTCAGAGAAAATATTTATGTTATCGTTTTTATTTTGCTTCATACATGGAGTTTATTCAACAAGATTAAACTTTTCCTTTTCTATGCAACAAAAAAAAAAAAAAAATCGGTTTTTTGGGGATGGACTTAAAAGATCTTGGGAGGAGGTTGGTTGGCCTATTGAAATGATTCAACGTTGAAGGGAGTTCAACCGTGCGGAGAGGAGAAGCCTAGCATAATTGAAGTCACTAGTTTTGGATGTTGCACAAAAACGACGTCAAAGATGAAAGAGTCTTTAGTTTATTGTTTAAGTTCTAGTATTATGTTTGTAGAACAATAATTGTGAAAATTCAATTTTGCGAATCCTCGTGGATAGGGTACAACTGTATCCGAACCACATTAATGCTGTCTTTTTTAATCCTGCTTTACGATATGTCCCAACACTAAGTGTAAAATCTGACACAAATAAACAATATTTGAATAAAAATAAAAATTAACAAAATTAACAATTAGTTTATTATGATACGAATCAATTACAACAATACAAAAATAATAATATTATTATAGAAAAAAATGAAATGAATTTAAGGTTGAGATCAGAAAAATGAAAGTTTGATGAGCTCGAGCTCGAGTTCGAGCTAAAAGCTCAATTTTTTTGCCAATCACACCTCTAAATTGAAGGTTTAAGAAACATATGGGAGGTAAGTGTGATATGTATTAGTGGAGGGATGCAATTGAAATTAGCTTTAAAAAAAAATATATTCCAAATTCCAAAAAGTAATTAACCCTTGAAAATAATTCGGGCCTAAAAATAATTCCAGACAAAACAAAAAGCCCATTTAAAAATGCAGAGCCCAACCCAAACAAATCACACTATAAACCCTAGCAATAAATCCCCAAATCACACCCTAACAAATTTTTTCTTCTTCTCCCCATCGTGAATCGTCTGCCCTCGGCCGCAGCTTTTCTCAATCCTCGACAATGGTGACCGCCGGCAAGAAGACGGTACATTTTTTCTTGCTTCTCTTTCTCTCCCTAAAAGTTTTCATATGTTCGTGCATTTCGTGCTGTATTATTATTAGCTTTTTTTTTTTTTTTTTAAATTAATGTATATACAATGGTAAATGGAATTTGATTTGGATTATTAACTTTATTGGAAAAATAAAATAAAAAAATTGCAGAAGAAGACCCATGAGAGTATCAACAACAGGTTGGCTCTTGTGATGAAGAGTGGAAAATACACTCTTGGTTACAAGACTGTTCTCAAAACCCTCAGGAGCTCCAAAGGTTTTCTTTTTTATTTTTTTTAATTTAATTTTAATTTTTTTAGGGTTTAGATTTTTGATTTGTTTGTTTTTCATTTATTGTTTTTTAAGAAAAAAATAGTGTGATGTGTTTGGGTGAATGTATGTAACAGGTAAGTTGATTTTGATATCGAACAACTGCCCGCCGTTGAGGAAGTCCGAGATCGAGTACTACGCCATGCTTGCTAAAGTCGGTGTCCATCATTACAGTGGAAGTGAGTATTTTTATATTTTATCCGTATTTTATTATATTCAATTATCCCATTTGTTTGTAGAGTTGATAATTCTGGATTTGATCAACTGGTTCCGATTGTAGCTTTTGGCGTACCTTAAGTTTTCGTTACTGTGGTTGCTTGTTCTATTAATGCCCTTTAGACTGATTAATGTTTTAAGTTTTTGAATGGAAATAATTTGTCGTATGCTTGAATTTGTTGGATGTGTAATTGGAATCTGTTTGTAAGATGCATATTGTTTTGATTGGGTTCTTTATCGGCATAGTAACCAGTGGCTAATGCATATAGTTTTTTGCGCTATGGGGCCGAGTTTTGATTTCTTAAGATTCTTAATAAGCATTTGTAGTCAAAAACTAGGCTAAGTAGTAGTACCTTGCTTCCCGTTTACGTGTTCTAGCTTTTATGAAATAATTTTCAGTTTCTATTAGTCTTTCAGTTCTTTCCATGCAATGTATGTAGTTGAACTAAAGTATGTCGTATACAAATTTCTAAGTTGATTCGAGCTTACATTCCCATTATCTCAACTTTTTGAAACAATCGAAGTTGTTCGTTGTTTCGATATTTGACTATATATGCATAGAGTTTCCTTGTACCAATCTAATCTCGTTTACCTCTTTACTGTGTTTGGTTTACTTGTGTAGACAATGTTGATCTTGGTACAGCATGCGGGAAGTATTTCCGTGTTTCATGCCTCAGCATTGTCGACCCAGGTATGCATATAATCATTATAGTTTTCATTTTTTGGTTTATTTCTATTTCATTCATTGTAATTCAGCATAGTAATAACTTCAAATTCTTGTAATAATTTCAGGTGACTCGGATATCATCAAATCATTGCCTGGAGATCAGTGAAAAGGGCAGTGATACCATACGAGAAATAGATCAACTACTTTATTTCGTTTCTAGTATTACTTCCATTCTTGAAATTTTGTCTTTGGGTTTCTTCGTCTTCGAACTATAATATGAATATTTGTGGCTGAACCAATTTTGTAGTTTTGTATTTAACTTGAGATTATGTTTTAAGGTTTGATTGGAGGTTCTTAATTATTCCTTTCCTTTTTTTTTTTAAATTTAAATCCTGTTACAAATGTGAAATATGGTAATGTTGGAAATGGCACAAATAATTTGTTACGTGCGTATTCACTACCGATTTTCGTCACTCGAACAATTTTTGTCCGATTATCAGGAGATACATGCATCATGCTTCTCTATTCAAAATCCTTTCAAACATGAAAAATGCCACCATACAAATGTACTAAACTTACGACACGAAGCATAACACAATGTGTTGAAGGAAATATGATATAACAAACACGATCCATCAACAACGCAGAACATTTTCCCGGTCCCGACTCGGGGACAACGTGCTAAATTAATAATTCGCTAAATTTCTAAGATAATACACATTCGAAAATTTTAAGAAGCCCCATATAATATATAAATTAATAATGCATAAAAATAATTTTTAAAATACATGGTACAGTACATATTTTGTAGATCTATGAAAGCTTAACACAAAATAATTTAATTCTCGCTTGTTTCTTGTTGAAGTACACATTACCATCAATCTCGTCCCTCACTTTTCTTAACATGGTTAGAACTTTCAATATATTTTTCTCATAACTCAACATAAATCGTTGTATACCATTGCTTTAAGAGCTTCCGTTCGTGAAACGGGCTCTATAGTGCATTGAACGAACGGTACAATGAAAAATATACACATAAAAAATTTAAAATAAATGTATTTTATTGAAAATAATAATAAAAGTAATTTCATAAATTAATAAGTTATTAATTAATGCATAAATTAATAATTATTAATTTATCGATAAGTTAATATTTCGCTAAATTAATGAAATTTTGATGGTTCCAACTGTATTAATTTATAGAGGTTTCACTGTAACTAACAGAGAGTTACACACTGCTTTAGAAGAACATTAGCCAATCAAGAGTATCCACGTGTAGCAAGAAACGATGAATCTTCCTCCAAGAGACCATGTGAATCCATGTTTCATCTGATGAAAAGATAGGGGAAAAAAATGCTATGTTATTACAGAGCATAAACAATGAAATAACTAACTTACATCACGGTAGCATTCAGCACGAAACAAAATTGCATGAAAAAAACATTTCAACTTTTTGCCGGTAATTTAATGTAAAATTGTCCTACTATACGAAAAATTCAAGACATAACCAACCTCATCCCTTCTTCCACCTTCAAACAATTCCGGAGCAGTATGTTGCTTTTCTGAGATAATAACGAGGCAGCCACTGGAAATCAGTCAAAGTAAACAACTTTATTTCAACACTGAGACAAAAAATATATAGCACCTATATTATTTTTATTTTTTTCTCATGTTTTGTTTTTTTTTTCACTACCTTTCATTTGCCTGGTCGAGTCTTGAAGACGGGATTTCTTTTTTGAACAACCCACGAAGATCTCGGTGGTGTTGAATTGTTTGATACAACATATCGACATCCTCAGTTATAAGTGGACAATTGTGCCCCTTACTCTCCAATCTTATGAGGAGATTAGACTATAACTTTTACCAGTAATCAGCACACGAACATAAGCCATCTTTAAAACTGTGAAAGCGATTAACATCTCGAACAACAATCGTTCTATTCGTAAGCTTCGAGATGTATTTAGCAGCAGAGTGACAATCATCGCACATTCTCAGATTCTTCATCACACGTATAGGCGCCAAAGGAGGCGTTTTCATAAGAGCATAAGCTATAGCCAACTTCTCACTATGATAACTAAGCCCATCTTCTTTCTGCTCCTCCTCCACATCATGCAACTCCGAAAAAACATCTGGAACATAACCCAAAGCCCTAATTTCAGACAACATTTCCCTCACCTTATTACGTATCTGAACCGACTCTGCATGCACATTATCATCCGAAGCAAAGACATGCGTATCGTTCTTCATTTCCGTCCAGCTCAATCCGGGCTCTTTCTTTATATTCCTTTCTCGAATAAATTTACGTAAGCCCACAACTTTATCCCATCTCTTTGATTTTGCGTGCATATTCGACATCAGAATACAAGTACCTACATCGTTTGGGTTCATATTCAGCACAATTTTCGCAACCCTATTTCCTAAAAGGTAATCTTGATGGACATTACATGCATTGAGCAAAGTTCTCCATGCAACTACGTCCCATTTGATTGGATTCGATCCCATGAAATCCATTGCTTCGTTTAGCTTACCTGCCCTACCAAGAAGCCCGACTATGCATGTGTAGTGTTCTAATCCAGGTTCGATCCCGAATTCTCTCATCGTATTATTCAAATAATGGAACCCTTCGTCTATTCTTCCAGTGAAGCCACATGCAGAGAGAACCCCGACAAAGGTTACGTAACTCGGTTTTTGTTTCGCAACTAACATTTCTTGAAATACATTCAATGCTTCTTCGCCTAGCCCGTGAAATGAGTAACCGGATATCATCAAATTCCAAGATATTACATCGCGATGCGATGTATTTCTGAATAAAATATTAGCTTCTTCTATCAGACCACATCTCAGACACATGTGGATCAAGGCATTGGCAACAACAGTGTCATCCTTCATCCCTATTTTCTCGAGACGCGCATGTAATGAATTACCGTAACCAAGGGCTGAAATACCCGCACACGAGTTCAAAAGCACCGCGAACGTGTACTCGTTCGGTACGACTTTTTCGAGGTCCATTTGGAGAAATTGTTTGAGTGCTTCTTCGAAGAATTCGTTGTGCAAATAAGCAGTCAGTATCGCTGTCCAAGTGACCTCGTTTTTAGTTTGCAAAGAATCGAAAACTTTTCGCATGTGCGAGATTTCACCGAATTTTCCATACATATCTACTGTAGCACTACCTACAAACAGATTACAATCAACACCAGTCTTGATCACTCTGCAGTGGACTTGCTTTCCCAAAATTAAATCTTTAAGGCGGCCACAAATTCCGAAAAGATTAACACAAGTTATAATATCCCACGCATCGTATTTACATTCCACCATCATTCTGTGCAAAACGTACCACGCTTCTGTTAGGTCGCCATGAACCAAGATCCCATTCAGCACGGAATTGTAGGTACAAATGTCCGATCTTGGAGGAGAATTCAGAACCGAAATAGCTTCTTTGATATCAGAACACATCGAGTACATATACACAAGCGCGTTCTTAACGTACTGGTGAAAAATCAGCCCAGATTTCAACCCGTACCCATGACACTGTTTGCCCTCATCCAGCAACCCGCAATGCGAACAAGACGAAAGAACCGTTGCTAATATATACCGGTTCGGACACAATTTATCCTCTGTGAACATGTTCCTACACAGCTCTATAACCTCGGAAGCACGCCCATGATGTAAATACCCAGCCATTATGCTACCCCAAGAGACAATGTTCTTCTTCCGCATTTTATCGAACAGCTGGCGGGCACTCGACATGTCGCCGCATTTCGAGTAGAGATTGATCACGGAGTTCCTCTCGATCACGCGGTCTCGAGAAAACTGACTGGAAACAATAAGATGGGCGTGAATTGTTTTGCCAAATTTGAGGTTTTTCGCATTGACAGCTGCTTTTAAGAGTTTCTGCAAGTCCATCGGATTAACTGTTTCACCTTTAATTGGAAACCCTGAAAAGCGAAATTTTCGATATCACCGCGTCATGACCCACGGCGGTTCCGGTGGAGGCAACGGCGGCGTCGCCGGTGGCTGTTAATTGGCTGTGTGGAAAAAGGACGATGGTGGCGGTTAAATCTGCAGAATGGGACGACGTCGTTTAAAAGGGAAGTAGAGAGAGAAAGAAATATTGGGTCAATAATTGATTTGGGTTCATTTAATTGTAGACCAGCCCAGTTCAGAATGCAAGCAAGATATCAATTCTCTCTCTACAATTTGATCTTTATGAAATGATTTACGCGGTACTATAATTAAGAACACTGTTCGTTGTATTCTTGTCTTTCTCTCTCTAAGAACACTCAAAAGCCGAAAAATTCAAAAAACTCTCAACAATTGTCACAAATCCTCCTAAATCCGAAAATCTCTCTAAATTGAAAAGTAATTTCTCATCTAAATTAGTTATATGTGTTTAATTTGTGGTAATAATGTGAAAACCCCATAAAATCGCGTTTTGATGCTGTTTTTTGGAAATTTGCTATTTTAACATGTTTCTAATTTTTCAGGAATTGCAAAATGGCCCATAATGTGTCCGGCATGTGTCCTCGAATGTTGGACACAAAACGTTAGAATATAAAGATTAAACGTTCACAATCTATAGATATATAATTGTACTAAGATGAACGCAACTCCAATTCTTGGAAATAATTCCAAGAGAAAATCATCAAGCCCAACATTCGGATTTTCCAAGATTTAGACAAGAGTTTGGTACCGAATATCGAATTATTGAAAAGCTGTGGCGCAAGTGTAAACCAGATTATCAAGGTCGTGTATATATTTCCATGTTTTTTCTTGAATAAGCCGGGAAATATGAAGAAATTCGTCGAAAAGACCGATGAAATGGTTAGTAAGAAATCGGCTATTTTTCACCATAGAGTTTCAATCTTGGGTTTCACCAAAAAGGAAGACGATCAAAGGAGCGAGAGAGACAAGACTCAAAGCCGAGGGTTTCACGAGAAGACGTGGGGTTTTATTGCTTCTTCTTAATTTAGGAACGCCGGCGAATTCTTGCGGTTTTTATTTATTTGTAATGAATTGAGCATCTCTTTGTAGGGGAGATGAATCCCTGAACCAATGTTGATGATTTGTATTTAATATTTGACTATCTTTATCGTACTTGATTTTTGTTTTCTTGTTCTAAATGCTTTTGATTTTTTGACCCACAACAATTAGATCGATTATAAACGACGATGAACTAATCAAGAGAAATTCTTGTTGGAACTTACGAAAACACAATTGACGATTGTTGATTTGGAGACGATAATTCACCTTGGTTAGCTCTTTAAGAACTTGGTAAAAATAATAAGCACTTTAAGAACTTTGGCGAAAGAGATATAACCCATAAACCTAGAATAATAAAGATGATTGGTCAGAGACTTATGCACAAAAATCCCAAATAATAACACGAAAATAATTGTTGAATATAATCTTTTGCAATATACAACATAATATTTAATTAAAACCCAAAAAAAACTTAGAGAATAACTAATTCAATGTGTGGAGGCACCCGTGATTCAAGCTGATGCTTTGTGTTCGCTCGTGCGGTTTGTTCCATCTCTATCGTATTATTCTTAGATGCAGAGGGTTCAATAATTAATTTTTCAAGAACTAGACAATTCTCCAATATGTATTCGATGAATTCAAGATCACGAATCTGACCACCACGATATCCACGAAACTTGACGACTTTAAGGTGGTGGTGGTGTCGATTTATAGGAGCATCCTTCACTTGACTATCTTTCTTCCGAAAAAACCCCCACTCGCACTCTAATACAAATTCCTCCAAGCAAGGGGATGCACTTATCAAATCAGCTAGTCTAGTAAGACTCTCGGAACCTTGTAATATATATGTTACGACCAACGTCTTTAGTTTACGCAGTTGAGGAAGCTTGCTCAATACCTCATTTTGTTCCTGCAAAATCAGAGCCAATATTAATTAAGGGTAAATTACGAAACCCCCCTGAAGTTGGGCTAAATAGCAAAAAAAAAGCCCCACCTGTTCGTAATTACCATAACCCCGCTCTGATTAACTGTTGATTGAGTTTTTTTAATAGAAAATGTGTACAGTCTATTATAGACTTCTGTTAAATAGGTGAGAAATGAAAGAAAATATCTGAAATTGTGTAACGCTATTACCGTGACAGATTTGGTGTAAGACAGAAACAAACCTTAGAGTTTCTTTTTGGTAATTACGAATAAGTGGGGGTGTTTTTCGTTATTTATCAGCCTAAGTTCAGGAGTTTTAATTTTCGTAATTTAACCATCAATTAACTAGTACCCTACTAGTGTATGTATGTCTAACCTCACTCAGCAGAGTCAAACGAAGTCTCTCCAATTGTGAACAGCAAGACAATTCAGATAATAGAACTCTCAACGAAACATCGTCGTCTGTACGATTAACATCGACCTCAACTAGCATCGGGATATGCTCAAGCAACAATCGATCGTATGTCGCAGCCTTGAAAAAAGTAAGACTTGGCGCGGAAACTACAATCGATTTTATACCATTGCAACGAACTATCTCCAAGTGTTTCAAAGCGAGGGATGACGAAGAAGAACCACAAACGCGAAGATTCGACAGCTCGCTAGAGTAACAGACGATCAATTTCTCGAGTAAAGGGCAGTTACGTAAAAAGAACTCAATAGGTCCGTTACTCACATGAACATTCCTAAAGATCAATGATCTGAGCGACTTAAAGTCGACGAGTGACGCAGAAACGAGCTTTTCGGGAAAACGATAATGACTATCTAGAAGGTCAAACTCCAAACTCTCAACTCGTCTCGCAAACGCGAATTCAAGCCACCGAGTGAGTGATGCGTGGTCCGTTATTATTAAAGCGAAACGGATTCTGAATTCTTTTAAGGTGAGGGCTTTGTGCGATTGGAGGACACGGTTCACGCGCCTCACGTAGTTACGTTCCTCGGTCTCGATCAACTTGCGATGTGACATGCACTGCCTACGTAGCGTGGCTAATCGTTCGTCTCCGTCTAGTTTGAGACGAGGCGTGTATTTCCACAGGTTGATCCAACGAGACGAAAGAACACTAGTACGCGCAGCTTCCTCAACCGAAAGAAAAGACGAAAGGATATTATCGACCAGAATATCATCGGGCAATTGACTTATCCGATCATCTTTATAAAGCTAAGAGAAGATTATCACAGAAATTAAGTGTTTAATTCATATCCTTATCAAACAAAATAGCATTATCCAAAAAAAAAAAAAAAAAAAAAGAGATTGAATAATATTTGTTGAAATATCTCACCTCCTTGGGTTGAAACATTCCGATACGCATAAACCCTATATAGATGTGAGTTTTGTTTTGACGAATATGTTTTATAAACAAAGTGTTTTTGGGTAGTGTTTATTCTCTGGCTCGGCCCGTAACCTCTTGACCCCGTTCACTCTAAGCCCACAGATGCACTGGTGACTGGGCCGTATATCATTCTTCCACGGACACCCCGTTTTGGGAAATCGGATTAGGGGTGTGAATGAGCTGAACCGGCTCGATAAAAACTCGAATTTTACTTGATTTCGAGCTCGAGCTCTCTAACGACCCGAACTCGAGCTTTTTATTAGTTGTTTGTGAACTGACGAGTCAGCTCGCGAGCTTCTTTTTATTTTTAGTTTTAATTTTATATATATTGTTTTTTATTTAAATAATATTAATAATATAAATATTATAGTAATAATATAAAAATTACATTTAAAAAATTAAAAATTAAAAATTAAAATTACAATTCATTATTTATTTTGTAACTTTTTATTATAATATAAACAACTAATATAAATAAATAAAAAAAAAAAAAAACTAAAATGAGCTTGGGCTCGAGCCCAAAAAACAATGCTCGAGTTCGAGCTCAGGCTCGCCAAAACAGCAAGGCTCGGCTCGTTTACACCCTAAATTGAATACTTAAAAATATTTAGGGATATTTTCTAACGGATATATCTATTGGCAAAAAATATTTCTAATGGAGTAAAACCGTGAAAACTACTGCGTTAGAAATTTAAGGCCTGAAATTGCTAACGGATATAATCTGTTTGAATAATTAACAAACCCGTTAGAAAAATAAATATTTCTGATGGTTGCTATCCGTTAGAAATATCTTTGTAAGAGTACAAATTGTAACACTTCCACCTACATTCCTAACAGATATAGCCGTTAGAACAATTAAAGAAAGAAACAATTTTTTTTAAATAATCCACACACACATATATATATATACTAGTTGTGTGCACCGCACAAGGCGCGGTTGCTGTGCCCAGGTTATACGGTGTATCGAAGAAAGCTATATTGCAGCCTAAACTGAAAAATCCCTTCACATGCCATGGAAAATTCAGGAAAAAGTGACCAACAATTGTTATGAAGTTCCAAATTTGAACTCCACAAGTAACACTAGAAACACTTGTGTTTATCGAAACTCCAGAATAACCAGCCTCATTTCATTTGTTCAGAGACTAAAATACCAGATGAACTCGAATTCAATAAAGTACTAAAAATGAAACAATAGATGAACTCGAATTCAATAAATTGTTGAGGCTCATAAATCAGAAGAATTGAAATTTAACAAATTTAAAAATAGACTGCAATTAACGAACAAAAAAGAAATATACCGCAAAATTACGTAACAATTCAAAGATGTAATCATTTATACAAGTCTTCCAGAGATAACACGTCATAGAAGAACCGCAAGACACCCTTACACTATAGTATTCCGCAAATTTTCGTTCTCCTTCCATGCTCTAATTCTTGTTTTCAATATTGTTGATGATTAATTGTACCCTACATGTTGTGAATTCGAACTGTAGAACATGATTAACCAATGAAATAAGTTTCCATATACCAAAAGATTCATTCATTAAAAGTAGAGGTAAAAGTACAGTAACGCTCACAATGTGTAGTTTTGAAGTTTCCAAAGAAAAAAATATGTAAGAGAAGAAATGAAATGAGGTAAGCTTTTAGGGAAATGGATAAGTAAAAGGTACCAATTATCCGCACCACTAAATGTTTTCGTTGAACCTCAGCTTGTACGTGGAAGCACAAAATCATGTGATAAAACAAACGGTTTACTCTTTATTAAGAGCACAAACAGGCTATGAAAGCATAAAACTATTAATAGATGCAAAAGTATTGCATTCTCAGAGGCTATTAAAGCATAAAACTATTAATAAGTCTTTGAAAGATTAGATACCTGGCCAATTTAATATCGATGCAGCCCGACCATTTTTTTCTTATTACGATTACAGTTAACACTCACCCAAAAATACGAATGACACAGTATTTTGTTATATGGAATCCATCTATAATGAAAAAATAACAAGAACCCACAAATAGGTACATCCAAGTAATAATTTTGATATAGCAAAGAGAAAAACATAGGCAAATAATTTGAAACAGTTCAAATTGGAAAAATTGTACATATAAATATACAGTTATTCTTGCACCACAAAATGAATTCATCCCAAATATATTACATAAGAGGGAGAGTAATACCCAATTTGTAAGTCTGTAAACGGAAATACGCATCGGTTATCTTCGTCGGTCGGCGGTCGCCATCAATTGCAAAAGGAGTCCTCAAGCCTCCATCTTTTTCTACTGAAATTTACAACAGCTCCCACTGTTCCATCAAATTAGAAACAAAAAATAAAGCAAAGAAATAGAACAAAGAAATTGGGGAGCTAAGAAATGTCAAGAAAGGAGAACTAACAATTTTAGAGAACTAATACAATACCAAGCAACGGTTCCATTATCAATACTGCCCATAAATCCCCAAACTTAGATTACCAACAAATTATATAACAGTTCCAATTATAAGGGTGAATTGCGTTTTCCACCCCTTAATTGATATTGACCAACGATTTGCACCCTAACATTTCAAAACAGGTAAAAACCAGCGTCAAATTCAATATTTCGGGGCAAAAACTCAATGTATTGAGATATTTTAATCTGTGAAGTGATTTCCATTTCCGGTACTTTGTAAATAAACTCTCTGACACTTTTAAGGTTCAGGTATCTGGAAACCATATAATGCAATGAGTACTTGGCCCATTGATTTACGAACAATAAGAATGTAATAAATGTCGTCCAAGCTTCAAGCTTACCCGTAAGTAACATAAGGCTCAACTTTGTGCAGCATGTTCATGGTGGATTTGTCTACTTTCAGAAAGACGATAAGATTTAAGTATCTACAAAAACGTCAATGTAACAATCAAATATAATACAAGATTTAAATCAGGAAGCTAAACCAGATACAAAAATCAAGATCGAATTATTTCAAAGTTTTCCTGAATATTTTATACACGAGATACATACACAAACCCGAAAAAAAAGATATTAAACATTAAAAGATGTTAGTACTTGACCAAATCTCAAAACTGCAAGATTTTCTTGGTAGTGGGATGCATAGCATTGATACTGAAAAATTATACATCGAATCGATAAATCGACTAAATAAACTGTAAATTTGAGAATATAGTTATTTATCCCACGAATTCGGACTATGAACAATAGCTTAGCTTCTGGGCTGACATAAAAACCACCCTCCAATCTCGCCTCGCGTTTCAACTGAATCAACTCTTATCCTAAACAAATCAAATTAATAAATATTAAAGACTGCTAAGTTTGATTTTGATTTTTAAAAGAGGATAAATTAAGGTTTTATCTGATTCTCATACTCTTGAGCATAATCTGTAGCTTTCTTGCAGATCAATTTTCGACTCTTCAACCTCTTTTGCCTTTGCAAAAATCTGCAACAACGAACACCGCCGCTACGGTAGGAAAATGGAAAGAGAAAGAAAAGGGAAAATAAATTGAGAAAACGATTTTCGGAATCGGGCTGCTTCTGGAATTAAACAAAAAGAAAAATAGAAACTTTCCATTTCTATTTACTTTCCATTTCTATTTACTATCCACCACCCCACCAAAACCTCTGAATAACTGATTCCAATCCATTGAAGAAAAATAGAAAAGGGTGGCCTGTGCGGCAAAGAAGTGATGATCAAGGCTGTGTTACAAGCCATACCCTCATACATGATGAGCTGTTTTGCGCTGCCGGTCAGCTTACTCAATGGATTTGGAAGAAACATAAGATGGCATAGGTTACTTGGAAGAAACTTTGTTTGCCTAAATCAAGTGGGGAATGAACTTTTGGGATTTGAGGAGCTTCAACTATGCTCTATTAGCGGATTCTTACGCAGCCGCACACACTTCTTGCAAAGATTATCAAGTCCCGCTATTTTCCGTATAGCGATATCGTTCGGGCTACAATTGGCACACGACCATCTGCTATGTGGAGGAGTCTCCTCAAATCACGCCCTCACTCATCTCTGGGCTCCGACGAAGAATCGGAGATGGTAAAGATATGGCCATATGGGGGGATCCGTGGCTCGGTGATGATGGTAATTTTAATGTTTTGACGAAGAGACCGTTCTCGACGAGCTTCCATAAAACTGTAGCGGATCTTATCGTCTCAGGCTCGCAATCGTGGAAGATGGGATTAGTTGATGAGGTTTTCTGGCCAGTGGATCAGGAGAGAGTTTTGAGAACTCCAATTGGTAGCAGTCGGCACGTGACAGGTGGATTTGGCATTATACTCATACTGGTTTATTTACGGTCCGGTCGTGCTATCATAATATCATAGCACAAGATTTTACTGTTGGTGGGAATCGTGGAGATGTTAGTGGATCGAGTAGCGGCGAGCGAAACATTACTGGAAACATATACGGGACTGCCCATTACATCGAAAATTCGCCACTTGGCGGGCGTGTTCAGAAATTTTACCCACGGATGCGGAATTATTTAGACAACAAATAGCACCAGCCCCAATTTGCTTCAGATGCGGCGCTGCCAGAGAGTCAACCATGCACGAGTTCCAAATTTGCAGCAGCATGGGTGCTATCTGGCAAGCACCCCCATTTCTCCTTTTGACATTCGATCTAGGCATCTCAATGTGGAAATGGGTGGAACATTTGCGCAACAAGATGAGCGGTGAGCTATTTCTATCGGCCGTGATCATATGCTGGAAGGTGTGGGAGATACGGAACAAGGAGATCCATGGCGAAGATTGTCTCAAAGTGGAAGAGATAGTTACCTGGTGCAATTTGTATCTCTACGAATTTCAACAGGCCCAAATCCCAAGATTACCGACTACAGGCGGAAATTTTCAGACTCAATGGAATCCTCCTCCGGATGGTTTTATTAAGATCAACTTTGATGCAGCGGTTCCTCAGGGAGAGAGCTTTTACTCAGTTTGAATGGTTGCGCGCGATAGAGAAGGGGAGTGTCATTGGTGGGCGGTTCGTCGATATCCAGGACATCCTAGAGCGATTGATTGTGAGGCGCATGCGGCCCTTGAAGCCATCAACACTGCCAAAACTCAAGGGTGGACCTCGATCATAGTGGAGGGCGATTGTTTGCAGGCTATTCAAGCGTTAAACAAGTTTTATCGATTGCTAAGAGTTTTTTTCATTGTAATTTTCAGTTTATCAAGCGAAGTGGGAACCATTGGCACATGACGTTGCCACTAAACTTGGTTCGGTCTGTACAGAAGGTTTTTTCCCTTCCGCATGGTTTAGCTTCTGCCTAAATAAAAACTCTATGTTTTTTCCTCAAAAAAAGATTTTTGGCCCGTGCGATGCACGAGATTGAAGTAAAATTAATACCAAGTAAAGTTAAATTCATACCACATAAATGAAGTTTCAATTAACATTGATGTTTTGCTATATGTATTGATGAAAATCCACCGTTCATAATTTTTTTTTGCCATATTTATTAATTTAACTTTATGTTTTTGATGCAGTATGGTTATATGTTTATCTTATCTCAGTTAAGATAGAAGTTTGACGAATCTTCTTACTTATCACCAATAAGAGGTGTCAGTATATTACTGTAAATCAATGATGCCATTAAATCTCAAGGGTTTATGAGAGCGATCTTACTTTTATTAATAAGATAAGAACCAAATTGTTTTCTAAACAATTAAATAATTTTCCCAAAAAATTAATATTAAGTAAAATGACAATTTTAGTAGGAAAAAATACATATTAAACTTGATTATATTAAATAAAATAAAATAATAAAATTAATTAATTAAATAAATGCCAATTATAACTATCAAGTGAGCGGGAATTTTCTCAGGGTTTACCAGGTGCAACCTTACTTTGATTGATATATATATATATATATATATATATATATATATATATATATATATATATATATATACACATATATATATATATATATATATATATATATATATATATATATATATATATATATATATATATATATATATATATATATATATGTATATATGTATATGTATATATAGCTGTGTATAGATGATAGTAGATAGAGATAGTGAGTATCATATATC